TGCGTCCCTCGAGAGGGTGGGACGGAGACGCACAAAAGCATCCCAACGGAGACGGGACGATCGAAGAGCGACGAAGACAGGTTCAATGAATCGAACAGGGCTGAACTACGATTGTGGGAGAACGATGGTGTTAGAAGCAAGGAGAATTTAGAACGTGAATTCGAAGATCGAAATGGTTGCATATTTTGAAAGGCGGTGTACCTTTTAGATTTGAAACATTTACGATGGCTATGGGACGTAATAATTTAATGATAATTTTAGGTCAAATGTTCGGAGACAACGTAAGAGCGTGTGTTCGCTAATTAAATGGAAGATGCGAGTGCACGGTAATTGTTACATAACAGTAACTAGATTAGTTTCCTATAGTTGAATAGGATCGTGTAGAATTACATTGCCTCGTACTAAGGTCTACTTTTACAAATTTTACATTTTTAGTGTCGGGATCGCGCGATAATCCTGTCCTTAACTTTCACCGAGAAAAGCGGAATAAAAATTCCTACGATTCACGATCATTCTGCTTCTTCTTTCGCCGAATTACCGCGCGATCCCTCGAAACACGAGATACAACTGTAACTACGAACTCGTTCCTCTGGCAATCAGAAATGGCTTTCGAATCAACCGAAAATCGACTTTGAAAATCAGCCGAAAATCAGCGAGGATCGTGCTTAAACCTTAACTTAACGACGTGTGATCCAAGAGCAACCGCAAAAAGTTCTCTTGCGGCGAACGAGATAAAGACGATCGACGGGAAGACGAGATATCGAGGAGAAAACGCTCACCGCAGGGAGATAGAAACCGAAAGAAGAAGAGAACAACCCCCAGAAGAAAAATAAAATAGGTTCTCTCTGTTTCAGCCGGTGAAATCGTCATTTGTCGCGTATCTAGCGGGCGCAGACGACGACGACGTCGAGCGGAGGGGGTTGATAACAATGATAATGACGATGACGAGCAGGAACGACCGGCTCGAATGACAGAGTCTGCGGCGTCGAGTGAACTGCGCCAGCAGAAACAATGCCTGCTGAATTTCCGCTCCGATTATTCGCCACTGTGTAACGCATAAAACGAGCGCCGAATCTGATACGTGTGTATCCGCGTCTTGATGCTCTTCTCTCTCTCTCCCTCTCTCTCTCTCTCTCTCTCTTTCTCTCTCTACAGGTTGTCGCAAAATAGGCGCAGAACACTTTTGTCTGTAATCAACGTTTATATGTTTGCGATTCTTCGAATTTCAATCGTATTTTCAGTAGCATCTTGTTCCGATCTTTCGTAAACGCTTCAGTTCGCTTTTTCACCTGTCCCTTGGAAAGCCGAAGAGCCACGAATATGCGACACCCTGTATATATTTCTCACTCTTTGATTCAGCCTGACGAGAAACGAGAATTTCAGCAAACAGTTCGCCGCTCCCGCGACGTTCACGCGAGACTTCGATATGCCTGCCGATGGAACGAGATCGCCAGCGATTGTATTGATCGATCCAAGCGTTGACACGTTCGACGCGTGAAATTGAAGGCTGCCATCGCAGCGGAGTCTTGGAGCAGAGAAAGATGCGCTTATATTGTTTAATCGTAATAGAAGCGCTATTGTATCAGGTCGTTTGAGCTAGCTGGCTTTCTGTTTAGTGTACAGGTTTCGCGATGAATCGGGAATATTGACAGTATTGGACATTGAACTGAATAACTTATGAATGTAATTCACAGGGTGTCTGTGGTAGTGATTACAGTTTAAAATTGTTCGCCAAATAGAATGGAATATTGGTGTTGACTGTAAATATAAGTAATAGAAATATCTGGATTTTTTTCGTTATTGCCGATTCTTTTATTTTGAGAGATGTTTTCAAACGATTCTCCTGAGTTTTCGGTTCGTGAGATGTGTGTTTTAGGAGATTTTTGGCACGCCACGCGTATGTAGATCGCGAAACGATCGTTTTTTAATTTACGAATAGATGGTAAATTATCGTAAAACGAATTAAAGATATATAAATTAAAAGAAAGAGTTGATGTTACACGTACAGATGAAAATTATATGTATCGGTGACAAAAATAAATGATCAATTTCTCAAACGACGGACCAAAGATAATTTATAGTTCGTAATATTTTAATAATAGCAGATTATATCACGACGATGATATAATTGTTAATATATAATTTGTAATAATATGTAATAAACGAATAACCCATTTAAGATAAGATATATCGTAACTGAAAATTATTTCCATGTAAACCAAGTTTGGATCTCACAGTAGTAACAAAGTAGGCCTTAATACATCAACCTTCGTCTTTCACCCAAACTATCACGTTCTACGCTTCCATTCTTCCATACACCCACGCAACTATATTACACAACAAATTCCCATTACCAGCACCATTACTTACACATACGTGCCTTCAACGTATGTATCTTCTTAAGCTACTTCCACCATTTCGAACACGTGCAACCCGCTTTTAACCACAATGCAACGACGTAACCAACCGGAAGTAATTCAGAGATCGCAAGATGCTCGACAAAAATCCGAATTCCAAACTTACTTCGCCAAAACTATCTCTCCTCCTCGGTGAACCACGAAGTTCATAGAATGCTGTCTTATGTATCAAAGAAATTTAGAGAAACGGTGAGCATGATGAACATTCCCCGATAATTCTCGCGATTCTGAATGCCATCCTCGAGATCGCCGCAATGGGCGGCCCTTCGATCGTAAATCTTGTTCTTGACCCGCGCACGAACGACATAAATCCACCGGCCTGGCGTTGTTCTGCGATTTTACTTCTTCCCTGGCCGGCTTTTATCCTAAAATATTATATCTGAGGGGGTTAGGCTGTCGCGACGCGAAGAAACTGTCGTCGCGAAGAAATAAAGCTAGGATTTCTCATAAACGTCAGACGCGTTTGTCTATGCGTTACCGTTACAGGTGTATACGTGTTCCGATGAACTGTCGTTCCGAATACGAACACGTCGAAGTAATCGAATATACAAATTATTACGCGCATATGCATTAATCGATCTTTGGATGTTTACGTTAAAAAATTCTCTTCGGCCAAGAACGCTGCGTCGAATCGAAAGCAGCGAATGTAAGCGTCTAGACGCTCGCGCTTACGAGAGATCCCACCCTAAGATCGAAAAGACGTAACGAAAGGAATCGAAAGGAAGGAGCGTGAATTGAATTGGACGGGTTCGCAGGACTGTCGAAGGGCTCAGCTGCCAGATTTAACGCAAAAAATAAACGTACGCTTTTATATCGGTGGTTTTAAGTACGCTCCATCGGCGTAAAACGCTCGAGCACGTCTGCGAACAATGCGGATCGTAAAGAGCGGACTCTCATTGGAAACGAAATATTCCCCGCTTTCATGTTGTTCTTGTTCTTCGCGCTTTTTTCCATCGGCTGGCGAAGGCAAAGTGGAATTTTTCGTTGTTTCGGAGCGAGGTTTGTGCGAATGTTTGGAAAGTGTCGAGTAGTTTGCTTTAGTTTAATGATTCCTGTAAGATGGGATAAAGTTCGAGAGCTTCTCTTCTCAGTGGTTAATTAGAGATTTGTAGCCTTGCAACGATTTTTACAACGAACTGCGGATTTTCACGAAATTTAGCCTCCCTCGTTTCTCATTGTGATTTTTGTATCGCTCGGGACTACGTATTACGAAATAACAAACCAGTTACTTGCGCTGCGATATATTCGATCTCAGCGAGGGCAAAAAGGGTTGTACTATAAAATCGATGAATCGTTGCTTTCATACCATTCTCTCCCCGGTTTCCGCGGGACGTGTCCATGTCGCTGAATTGGCTCGCCAGTACGTGCTAATTTCGCGGAACAAAGCGTCCGTTATTTGGAGTGTACACAATATTCTTGACTTTAATCACGTAGAAAAATGCGCGCAAAGAGCGTCGTGCGATATCTCATTTGCGCTTTGTGCTTGGCGAAGCGACGCGAGAATTCAACGAAAAACATGGAAACTACAAAAGAGGAATTTTCAAATGGTTATGGAAGGAATAATATTCGCATTGCCGCGGTGAAGAACTTCATCTGTGATCTTCTGCATCGTTTTAACATACCTTGGATATATTGTAAAGCAAACGTCTAAATTCTATTCGTATATTTCAGACATACTCTATGCACGTTGCAAGATATTAACCATTAATTCCAAAACAATTACTTCCAAGTGAACCCTGAATTTTAATTTCTTGATCGAATCGGAAATTCTAGGTAGATGTGAAGAATTGAAATATCTTCTATTCTAAAAAATATTAGCATGATTTAGAAAAAATATAAGAAATATCGCGTAAGCATGGCGATTTAAATAAAGACGAGTTCAGACAATGGATGATCAATCTTTTTATATATGATTATATATATATGCATTGAAATGCTTATTATTTTCATAAAATACCGAGTATGACTAGAGCTTGTTAGATATGTAATATAAATCATCATTCTAAATAAATAAATCGTTAATATTCAGAATTAAAACTTAAATTATTAAACTCGTATAGTAATCGTACCAACGACGTACATGTAGTACAAATCTAGTGTCTTGTAAAATTTTATGTACGTATTCGTTCCATTCATGATATAATATATTGTATATAATGTATCATATACGTACGTATAATCAACTATAATTCAACAAATAATAAATTGTTGAACTGCGAAACAAGTTAAGAGAAAAATATTCAAAAAGTCCCTAAATGTATAGCTTGTAATAAAATTTCGAAATTTATAGGTTATTACTTACTAAAATAATAATATATGAAGATTTTCTACGTTCTTAATTTCACACAAACTTAAATGTTTACCTACATCGTGGCTGATTCTTAATTGATGAACAATCCCATTCTCGTCTGTTATAATTACTATATAATTTCAAACAATAATCGAGTATTAAATCATGATTAAATCCGATTTAAATCTTTATTAATTTACACCGTTTGCCACGTTATGAAACATTCAACGGTATCTGCTGTTTTTGCACAAAACTAGTACTCGATTGATAATATCACATGCTATATAATCGAGCAGAGTATTTTATACTCTTGTCGTAAGAGGGCTACAGTTTCCTGTTTCTTTTAGTTCACGATATACGTACGGTACGTTTCGTAATGTTAGACTCTCGTATTTATTATTTAAAATATATACAATTAATGAAATTGACAGATTAATAATAGTTACAAATTGTTGTTAATTGTTTCGTAACGCCGTATAATTATTCTCAGTGTCATATTCGGCTTATTTCGTATTGATCTCAATGGATTAAGACTCTATCTCTGCATGGTTTTTCTAGCCGTATAACAACAAAAGCTGTGAAATTCCAATATTTTAACGCTAGATACTTTTTCTGAATTTTTCTTTTTTTTTGAATTCTATAAAAAGTTCGTGTTACAAACATTTTGTTTTAATACTAAAGTGAAATTTTGTTTTGTTTCTTGTCTAGAATTCAAATATTACTTTAACATAACCTACAACAGTGCATTAATTTTAGATCTTATTTAATAATTATGTCATACCGTGTGATTATTTTAATCAAAGATGGATTTTTTGCGCAATAAAATTTACTATTGCAATATAATTCCGAATTTTACAAATGTGATTTCTTCTGTTAGAAATGGCAGATACACCTGCTGAATCAAAGGCGAAAACAAAAGCAGTCAAGAAACCAAAGGAGAAGCCAGTAGAGCCTCCTCCTTTGAAAAAGAGACCTTTCAAAAGACACGGACGTCTTTATGCAAAGGCCATTTTCACAGGATATAAACGAGGGCTTCGTAATCAACATGAACACACAGCGTTACTTAAAGTTGAAGGAGCTAGGACTAAAGGGGATTCAGATTTTTATGTAGGAAAACGATGTGTTTATGTATATAAGGTAACTTCTATTACGTTTCCATTAATTCTTTTATTTCAATTTCATACTGTGGTACGTGAGAATATGAATCGATATATAGTCATGGATATAAGTCGAGCAATGTTGTAATCGTGATATGTTAATCGTTCATAGGCAAAAAATAAGACACCTGTTCCTGGCAAGAAAAGCAGGAAAACAAAAGTTAGGGCTATTTGGGGTAAAGTAACCCGGCCACATGGAACCAGTGGTTCAGTACGTGCTAAGTTTAAGAAGAATCTGCCAGCTAAAGCTATGGGCCACCGTATCAGAATTGTAAGTTGTTTAATGATTCACCTAGTTAAGTAATATATAAGTATGAATTTGCTAATATTGTTATTTTATTACAGATGCTGTACCCCAGTCGGATATAAATACATTTTTCTGTTGTATAAAATAAGTAAATAAATAACCGTTTGGTACTAAATGTAATGTTTTTCTCTCTTTTCTTGTTTTCTCATTTATTTTTTATTACTGTCTAAGATATTTCATAAATGTTAAACCTATTCAATTTTAATATTAAATCAAGTTTCAATTGTAATTACTTTAATCTAATCTAAAAACTTAACGCTTGAATTTGATTCCAACAGAGTTGTAAATTATAAGATGGTTAAATATAACCTTAAATTTCATACATGTAATATATGTAGTATATTTTAGTTAATGCGACAATAATATTTAAAATTAAAAGCAGTTCCTGATATTATATTAAATAAAAAATGAAACATACCTGTAAAACGTAAATAAAAAATTAATATTGATTGCATAAATTTGGGAGGAAGCCATTTTCTGTCATCTACGCATCTACCTACACACTGAAGCTTAAAGTGCAATCTCTACGTTGAAATACACACAGCACTAACTGACTATCATATCTACGCGCTGTATGGTGTGTAATATTTTCGGCGTAATCGAAGTAAATAACGCGATCCGTTCGTTTCATTATACGGGAGAAAAAAAGGGGTTTTTCTCCTAACAGTGTCACAATGTTTTGTGCGTTCATCTGAACAAACCAAAAAGGAAAGGAGACAAAGATGATGTTTTGCTGTTTGAGAAACTGTTTTGACGGCCTTGGCTTCGCCGCAACTCAAACACAGAAGAGAGGACCAAATCCTATATCTTTAGATACATCCTACATGGGTAATTTTTACCTTCTATTACTGAAATAACGTTAATAATAGTGTTTGAGAATGTTAATAGTATTCATATCATTGTATTTGCATAAAATTTACGTTTTTAACCGTTCCGCAAGATAAGGATATGCACTTAGTGTCACTGATGATATTTATGTATTCCGGTCATAACGAGAGTTCTGTTTTTACGTAGTCTATATTAACGATAAGAAATTTTACGAGAAATAGCAGTGCTTAAGCAAAATATTACCCAATTGGTGTAGGACATGAAGTTGTGATAGTAAAAAATGGTCTAAGAGTGTGTGGTCGTGGTGGTGCCTTAACAAATGCTCCTCTTGTCCAAAGTAAAAGTTATTTTGAAATTAAAATACAACAAGGTGGTATATGGGCCATTGGATTAGCCACTAGATCTACAGATCTGAACGTTACAACTGGAGGAAATGATAAAGAAAGTTGGGCTCTCAATTTTGATTCTATTGTAAGGCATAATCAGCAAGAAATACATAAGATTCAAAGTCCAGTCCAAGAAGGAGATATTATCGTAAGTATAAATTACTGGGGGATATATCAGTTCATAAATTAATAACCTTTTGTTCATCAGGGTGTGTCTTATGACCACATAGAACTTAATTTCTACTTAAATGGAAAACCGATAGGTGCTCCAGTAATGGGTATAAAGGGAACCGTGTATCCAGTACTCTATGGTAATTATTTTCAAACTAAAAGAATATAGTAATGTTTTAACAAGTTTAAAAAAAAATAATCTTCCTTTATAGTGGATGATGGGGCCATTTTAGACTTAATTTTGGATAACTTTACTCATCCCCCACCCACAGGTTTTGAAAAAATTATGCTAGAGCAATCATTACTCTAGCAAAGACATTCCTACCTATTATAAGTGTCAATCTCTTTATACCTTGGCACTCAAAGCATTATATGTCCATCCTATATCTGTCTAACATTAAAGTATGGAATCAAAAATTATTCTTATCTAGACAGAAATCCTTAAAATATAGCGTTATGAATAAGAAATATTTCTCTTAATAATGTACAAATATATTTAATTAACAATTGCAAAATAAACATTTTAATTTATATCTTGCCTTTATCTTTCTTTTTTATTATTCCTATAGAATGATATCTATAAGAATTAATGCTTATAATACTATAATGATAATATTAACAAATGTAACCTAGGCTAATTTGAATTTGGTATATTTTAATATAACTACATATATATATAGTTTTTGTATAATTGTTTAATAATCAAATAACATAATTTTAAATATGTGTACAACTTACATATAATATTTTTATATAATATATATATATATATGTCTGTATAAGATTGTATATAATATTGTGTACACAACAATTTATTGTTCTTTAATGATTTAATGGTATGGTATGTACACTGGCTGGCTTACATAAGGTACCATTGGCTTAGGCCTATATTTTGCTTTATTAGGCTACTGTCATGGATTTTTGTCCTCATTATTCTTTTTTTTTTATTACAACTTAAATTCATGCTAAAAATTTCATATTACATATTAAAGCTAGCCTTTCATTCACGCTAATCTGACGAGTATGAGTTCATTTTTACAATGCTGATAATGCAAGTAACTATCAACCCCATAAATGTTATAGTCACAAGCATCCTGTTGCACACGTAATGAGATAAACATACTAACACGATGAAAAAATGGCAGAGATACATGTAATTAGTGAAACTTAAAAGATTCGATAAAATAATATACATGACGTTCCTAAATGTGTGATGTTAATTTTAAAATACTGCACACCCTGTGTAATTTAAGTTCGATAATTTGTAAATTATTTCGAAGATGTTAGCGTATAGCGAAGGCAAGTACGCGAAAATAGCGATATATTGCTAAAAATCTGTTCCTGTGCATCAGTTGCTTAAACAATCATTTGTGTTTTCATCCAAGTAGACACCTTCTAATTATATTATTGTACCTATATATCAAGTGGAAAGATCTTGAAATACATCTTTTCACTTATTGCAATTATAACGATCACTCTGTTTAAGAACATATAAAAGTTTCCTTTTTACAATTGCTTTTAACAAGCTCTCTGCATTTTTGTAAAAACTTATTAAATCTTTGGTCCTTAACGTTACTTTTAAATGATCATTATCGTTAATCATATTACATACTTAATATTATATATATATTTATAAATAGATTGCCCATAAGTTGTTCACGTCTGAATGATAATAGTACCAAATTAATTCTTGTCTACACTTTTAAATAATACTCCAGAAACATTATACTTCATTTTGTCAAAAATTAAATTGATACTACTATCAACCACAAGTCAACAAAAAAGAAACACATTTAACATAGGCCATAGAAAGCCTGAAATTTAAGAACGTTAGAAAAGACGATATACTTTTCCAGTTAATATAAATCATTTCTAATAGCAAAGCTAAAAGAACAGATCCATTTGTTTTATATCACTCATGGCACTCATTTTATGATTCAACTTACAATATAAACGTGGTAATCATACAGAAGACTAATGGTACACGTTAAAACCCACGTATTCACCGGACGCATACAATGTTCATAAATGTTTGTGAGCATTTGGAGATATTACATAAGCATTATATTACATAGCATTTATGATGAACACTGGTCCACATAAATGCTAACGAACAACAACAACATCCGTGAACATTTTTCGTCGATGATGTTCTCTTTTTTTGCTGATAAATGATAACGAATTTCATTTGAAATGTAATTATACGACGACATCAGCAACGCTCACGAACGTTTCTGAACATTTGTGAAAGTTTACGTGTGCCACGCATTTCTATTAATCGCTGAAGAAGTTTGGAAACGTTCGTGGATCACTTACGTAATCGACGAATACGCTGCTAAAGAGAGCTTTTGCATTTTGCTTCGTAATGATTTAATGCTAGTTATCTAAATATATCTAATGTACATAGAATATATTACATTTATTTGATGACTGGATGAAATATTTATAATGGTAACCCATTGAGTCTTATTGCACGTGTGATTCTAACACATTAAACAAGTACATGATCTTTTCAACTTAACGCGATTTACTTAATTTTGTAATGCAATAATTATTACCTTTGACCGAAAGATTGATTAAGCTGTAAATACGACTCTTTCAATGTTTGCATGTAAGTAACAAATTAAAACAATTTAACTGAAAGGAATGTGTGCTAAAACAACATGATCTTTGTGAACAGTTACACTGACAAATAATCAGCATCTAATATTAAACACGTTTATCCAATGATCATTCATTCCAACATTCACACGAACAGTTTATCACTTAAGCTATATAAATCGCTTTTATTAATCCTATTACCACTTTATTCAAATAACACTGCAAATGATTCTATTAAAAAATATAGACTTTTAGATATATTTACAAAATTAATTTGTAATATTTATCCTTCCATTGAAAACCGCTATAAATAGAGATTTTTATACATGCTGTATATTATGTCACTTTTATTATCTCTTTCACGTGTTAATTAGGAATATCGATCGTAATCTAATTTATAACCTCAGATGTAATTTTAAAGCAAGAAATATTTCATTTTTTTTTTAATTCTTTTTAAACAGAAGCAGGCATAATTACATTTCTTAAATGATACTTTTAATTTGCTATAGAATAACGATTAAAGATACCACTATTGTAGAATTTACATCATATACGGTATGTGTTGAAAGTAAATTTAATCGTAGAAACGAAAAAATAAAGCAAGAAGATTATGTATCAATTCATATTAGTAATTGAAGCCATGAATTCCAAAGCAGCATAAGTCCACTGTTTGACATTATATGAGTCATTGACATAATTGTTTTTAGTTTACTCAAATCTGTCTAATAACATTTTTATACAATGCAAATATGCCATCCTGCACGACAATTTTCAACGACAATGACATATCGATGAGTCAACTAATCACGCAGTTATTCTAATTTAAAGAAAACACCAGTTTCAACTTTTAACGCGCAGAATGCTTATAAAGATAAGATGTCATTAAAACTTGCAGAGTGCCAGCCGGTGAACTCAAATCATCGCACATGCTTCGAAAACTTATTACAGAAATATAGATTCACTGAGAAATCTAGAATGATGACTCATGCAGTAAAATTTGGGTCGGCGAATAAACGTGTTTTTTTGTTAAATACCATTTTTTTAATAAGTTGGCTGAAAGTACAATAATAAATTACTCGATAGTTTCCAAAACAGCACAAGTTTACGGTTTTACGAAACTTCTTACAAAGAACATGATTATTTAATAACGATTAAAAAAGATATATATATATATACATATATATAATGAAAATGTACGTACAATTGATACTTACAACAAAAAATCAACAAAATCGATAATGAATTAAGAAAAATAAACAAAAGAAGATTGATTTTCTCGAAATATTGATTGATAGACTGGTGCTATTTTGGAATTCACGGCTTCAATTTTTATTACTAAATTATAGAACTAATTTTTATCACTTTTGAAGAATATTAAAACAGATACGTATAAAATATTGAGTATCATATGAAATACTAGACATTTATATTTTTGCAAAACATATTAAAGTTAACATTTTTTCCTAATCCTATTAGATTTTTTCATGTAAGTAGTAAGTATGCATTCAAGAAATAATTATAGTATCTTTTCCCTAGAATTGACTTCGTAATACACATTAAAAAAATCTGTTTGCAAGCTTTTATCTTATACGAAGTAAAAACATTAACAAAATCAAAGTTTAAATGTGATATATTTTAAGCAAAAATTGCATTAAATGGAAGAACTCTTTAAAAAAAATTATGAACATTATATAAATCATAACAAAATTTGTGTGATTATATATTTCATTTCATATATAGCTACCGAAAGAGGATTCCAAGGATTTATTCCAAGATCCTCTCTGGGCTCTCTTTGGTCTTATCCACATTATTTTCTATAAACACTTTTGGTAAGTTCTATGCAGACCACCGCCGCATATAATAATTCTATGTAAAATTTCTTTTTTCTTTCAAGGATGATTCCCTGAGATACTCAGATTCAGAGCAACATTTTTCTCGCTCGGCCATGAATGCAAAGCATCGATATTATCTATCAGTAACATACTTACATATCATTCAACATCTGTAGTATCTTCTATGACAGAATCCCAATTGAATTCCGTTGCACTTTGCCTAGAAGGTAATTCTCCAAGGTGTTGAAATCGTTGTACGAAGTATGGATCGCGATCTCTAAGTCGTTTGAACCTTTGGAACGCAAGATTTTTTGCGAAATCATACAGTTCTAGATCCAGTCTGTTTAATCTACGCACAGCATCTAACTGTTCCGTGCTTAGGGTAGCCATTGTGGCAGCGCTTAACGTCGCGTTATGTTGTTCAAACGCAACGGCAAATCTCATTCCGAATGTTTCTTCAAAGGAATACTGTCCCACCTATTCAGTTTTAAGTTAATTTTATAACATGTAAGCACGTAGATAAACGTATAAAATGCAAATCGACTAAATGAATTTTTTATATAGCGCGCAAATTTCGCGAGGAAATTGAAAATTTCAACTCGTATAAAAGCAAATCGATAATAATTTCTTTTAAATTTTTTAATTTTTTCAAAAGTCATTTCTAGAAATATATATACATTGGAATAACTAAGTTTAAAAAATTAAAGAGGATTTTAAAGATTTTCGCGTAGTTTAGCAGTTGTACTAATTTTTAATTTTTTTTGTTAAAGGAAGCATATACAAATAAAACATTTTTAAATGTTTTTTTTTTAATAAAACATTATTCTTTTTGTATGATAAGCAAAAATCTGTGACATACAATTTTCTCCTATTAAGTAGTAGCGTAATAATCTAATGCAATTTAAATGCGTTTTAATAAAATGCATACATATTAGTTAGCATTAAGTTAGCAATAGCGTGACAATTTATGAATTACGACGTATTAGAAGATCAGAGTTTGATAGTACAAACAGTGGTAAAAACGTATTAACTTACATAAAGCAGAACTTATATAATCGCTTCGTTTCGTATTTTTCGTATTAAGTCGATTTTCAGAATCTTTCTATGCTTTTTCTTTTTTTCTTTTTTTACTTTCTATACTTTCTATTACTTTTTTTTTATCAAATATTATGAATATGTTAGATGCATTAAATAACAATGATATAAAAATATAATTTTCGTCAACATGCATTTTAAATGAGGAAAGATCTTTTTAAGACCGGAACGTTGAAAGCGTGGAATATTTACAAGCATATTTATCGTCCATGTACGGGTAGGTAAGATAAATATTTACATTAAGAGCTACTTTCCAAGAGATAATTGTTAGGTAAAACATAAAATGTCTTATTAATACAGGCGGGCCAAGCAACTTAGTAGCCAAAATAATAACTTCCAAAATTTAAATAGTTGACAAACAAAAATTTACGAATAAATTAAAAACAATAAAATAAGTGTTACTATGATACAATAAAATATTAAAAAAATTTTAATCAATAGATTGGTTTAAATTTTCTTATATTGAAAATAATTTCTTAGCGATATTTATAAAGATTATTACAGTACTAACAAAATGGCAATGCTAGAATATATAAACATACAGGCAGTACAACATATATGAACATGCATTTAATTATTAACAAAAAAATTAGTTCTTACTTTCTGGTATTCAGTCAACATGAAGAAAGGCATGAATTGCAAATTGTGCTTAGCACTAGCCAACATGAGACGATCTCTCTCCAAGCTGCTGAGCGTAGAATTGTAACAACCAACAATTGATAGATCAGCCAACATTCTTGTTTGACGGTTACTTGCCAAATTATATGGACACGCCATAAACTACATAAATGTTGTCAAAAAGGTTTAAATTTTAAATAAAATTTTGTCCTATTATCATTATATAGCTTTTTTATGTTTATGATATTTATTATCCAGAACTAATGTAAATAAATTCTTATGTTTTACGATATTATATCAATGAAATAATTACTGCTTTTATAGCAGAGAACATATCTATACAAGAAGGAAAAATTGTATCTATTTAGAGAAAGAAAAATAAAGATAAGGAGAAATACTTTATCTTAATGTGTTTCTAAATGTGAAAGCCTTTCAGATAACATACTTAATGTTTTACTTATGAAAGAGATCACTATGATGAATTCATAAGAATACTAATATATAAAATGCTTACAGATTACCAAATATCAATAAAATCAATAAATATAATATTACCTGTTCCAAAGATACCCCTTGCCAACTAGATCCAGGATAACACTGTGGTATATTTGCTTGAGTTCCTCCACACCAGTGACGAGCTCCTCTCCATGTTGCACCCCTTTGTACGTGTCTAAATTCAGACAGATACCGTGCAACAGGATCCCTTATTATAGTTATATAAAAGTATCTACGTTTTATGCCATCTCCTTCAATTTTATTTAATTCTGTATCAACACAGCTAGTCAATTCTGTCCAGTCAGCATGTAGACCACACTTCCAACCGGTAGAATATCGTGAAAAAAGCCAATTTTCATTGCGATTTGGACGGAAACAAAAACAACGCTTGCGTCTTCTTTGACAAGAACATGGTCTTTGCAGATCTAAATCTCTAACTAAATGTTTTCCAAACAATGTACCTCCTGTAACATAAAGAAACATTAAAAAATTAACGAATATAATTTTCAAATATTTTAACTTTCTTAGTACTCTTATTACTTTATATATATATATTAATAATTTAAACAAACGTTCATGACATGCATATTCTATTATTCTGTATGTTGATAAAGAGAAGCTTATGGGAGGTATGCACATGGAAAACAAAAAGGAAACACAGATATGCATGCATAGCATATTAAACAGGGCAACATCCCTGAATTGTTCTTTCTCCTTCTAAGATACAGCTTGAAGGTTTCACAGTGTCTAATGAATAATGCAAAGATTCAGTTGTACAATGGTCAGAAGGGATGTTGCATTGTTTTTATTAAGCCATAGGATTGGTTACCATAGAATTAGTCCGAAGAAAAGTGAAAGATCAATCAAAAATATGTTTATGCAGTCTATAATCTCTGCAGTAGCTGGTCTATGTAATTGTGTCCAATTTTTCTGTTATCAGCAAATTTGCAGATAATCAAACTTTGTTAAACATATAAATAAACATAACAGTCATGGAAAAAGAAATTTATATCTTGACAGAAATAAATATTTTTAGATATAACAAAATTTTATTGTCATAAAAATTTTAATTACACTTTTTTCATAAACTGCATTCAACAAAAATAAAATGGGGAGGACTGACACACATGGACAGCTAAGACAAAAAAGAGAGATGAATTAAACAACAATGCAAACCCAACTTACCAGTTTTCTGAATGTGCAAGAAAACGATGACATCGTGACCGTTGATGTCAAACTGAAAGGTATCATTGGTAAACACATCGTCGTAACCAAGGCTCCCTTGAATACTCTGCAATCTAAAGGCAGGATGTACCGAGAGCAGGCCATTTTTGTCGAATTCGACGGAAACGGAAGACAAACCGGAGCCGGGACCAGCGGACAGACCCTCGGACAATCTCACGGACTCCTTGATCTCGCGGCTCGTGAGAGCACAGACGTGATCGGGGCAGAAGTAGCCGAGATAAATGATGCCCGTGAGCGCGAGAAACAAACATATCCCTACAACGCTACGTAACCGAGTCCTCCGTGCTCGTGACTCCATCGTCGCGGACCTCTCGCATAAATCGTCCTTTACCAGGACCGAGAGTACGCTAACGCCTTCTTCGCTTGACCGTCTGCCCATTATCGCGCCCCATGTTTTTTTTCACCACTAAACACACCGCGTACCGCTCGCCGATGCGGCCTGACCAAAACTACTCTCCCAGAGAACGTCGGCCATGACAGATACTCCGTATCCCTACCACGCGCCTTCGTCATACAGTCGTCGCGTCGCCCCGCCGCGATTCTCTTATGGACATTGTCTGGTATTCGTCTGTAACAGTTTCTCTAAGTGAAGAGGGGAGATCGTGAGTTTATTTAAAAGTGCGAACTTACCGAGTGTACACGGCTGCAGCCACCTATATACGCATACTTATGCACTCTACCACCGTGCATCTATTTAAAGCAATATCTTTTGTCTTTTTGCATCGAGGGATTCGGGTAAGTTTCACAGCTGCGTGCTATGAATGGTCATTTTCGGAAACGTTAATGATTATGATTGTTTTTTTATGAATATCTCCTTTCTATAGAGAAAATTAAGATATATGTATGTTTTATTCTTTACATATTGAATGTATGATAGTTTTTATCCGAATTTATTTGTAAGAAATTGTTGGTATCTGCGCGGTGAAATGATCATATCGATGTTTGATTTTAAAGAAATTTGGGCGTTGTATATATTATTTATATGAAAGCTATAATATATATTTGATCGTTTATTATGTTTAAATAATATTAGGCGGTAATGAGGTTAATAGGGTTTAATTACATAAAAATTCAAAATTATCAATACATCAGCTTAGCGCCTTTTTTCGATCACTGTGAAGTAAGTTGCAATACAAATGGAAGCGACTACATATTGCATCACTTCAGATTGTAGTCGAGTATATACTTACATACTTAGCCTATAATCTGTTATAACCTAATTTCATCTGTCAAAATTTCTATCTTGAGTTACTGTCACATCATACAAGTTTGTTGTGTAAATTGGTTATATTTTTGGAACTCTTAAATTTTTACAAGTAAGTATTTTATTATATAAATTTATAATATTTATTGCAAACTTTTTTAAATTAATTAGGAAGTGGTACGTTGGTGACGTGTTAATAAATATCTGAAGCAATATTCGATTTAATTGTTGCTTATATATTAATTATTATAGCTAAAAATACAATGAAAATAGTTATGAGTACAAAGTTTCACTCTTGATTCTATTTTATTCTTTCTATTTTTCTGACAAGACACATACAGATAAGTATTTTTTAGAAATTTATAGTCCATTATGTTAACCTTGTATTTATTTATTAATTCATGGATCATTAATGGAAATATATGCATAAGCAATTCATAATGATTTTTTGTTTGACATTTAGAATGACAACCATCGAGTTGCTCGAGGATAGGGTTATGGAATTAGAAAAACAGATATATGGACTTGCAAAGAAAAATGAAGCTAATGATATTTCATTGGAGAATCCTGTAGTCGATAATATTTTACATGTGAATACGCTGATCTCATCTGCAATGTCGGGACGAGAAAAAGCAAATCTAATGATAAAACGATTACCAGAATTAAATAATTATCTAGATCCGATAATTGAAAGTTCTGAAATACCAATAGAGGCTAAAGTTCAATTGTTACTAGCAATGGCACCAGAAATCAAGCAAAATTATGAAATGTTGAAACAGGTGCAAGAACTAGTGCCCGTGTTAGAAACTGATCGTTTAAAAAATGTTCCAGAATTGACAAATAAACTCAACGATTTGAATCTATCATATCTTAAATTATATGAAGATACTCAAGGATTAAATAATCATATAAATGAAGTTTTTTCCAAGTACAATGAAGTGATAACTAGTATTTCAAAATCATTGATTACTATAGATGCTATTGTGACAGCAGCTGAAATAGCAAAAATACCCAAAAAACAATTAGATTAAGAAAGGATTGCATAAATAATTCATAAGAAAAATTGTTATTTATTATTTCACGAATAAAATTATTTATATTTAAAATAAAACAGCTTTGTATTCATTTAAAATACATTTATTTTTATCTTAGCATGTAAAAATACTTACGCATTCATCAATGACTATGCATACATAAACATATTTTATTATTGTATCTCTTCATAACAATGTATTTTATTAAAACACTTATATATTATATACATTTATATAACCCTATCTATTTCTTAACCTATACCGTCGTTCATTTCAGGAATCCTTCTTTAGGATCTCTGAGACAAACTGTTGATTGAATAACTGGGTGTATTTATCTGATGGTCTCTCGTTTCCAATAAATATTTTCATATTGCTGTTACTCTTTTGAATCTAATAAGAGGATGGACATTACACTAATTAGTAACACTAGACCTTTGTTAATATCTCTCTGACATAGTAAACTGCAAAGTGTATGTCAGCAAGAATCCATTAGAAATAGTTGTTACATGAAACCTGTTGATTATTCAGCAGAGTAAACGAGTGTATTAAACGTTCCACATCTTTTCATATGTATAGAACAGCATTCTTAGGAGACCTATTTCGCTAACTTGTAAAAAAATCTCTTACAATGTTAAGCATATTAAACAGTCACTTTATACAGTATTTACAAACGTCTTAATTGTAAATATCATGTATTGCCAATTATATGTACCTCCGTCATAAATTTTATTTCTTATATATAGCGCAAAAACTCGCCACGGAATATTGCACTACCTATTAATCGGCATTATAGAGACAGGAAAAAAGATCACGATTCAGAACACTTTTTTCTCATGTAGAATCAATTATGGCCGCGATTGTATTATTATCTGTTGAACGCGTTCTTTGCATTTAAATAGGAACATACCGTTTGGAAAATACAGACGGATACAAATTAAGTACATAGTTTTTATGTCTCGTGAATTTTAACAGGAACTTCGACATTCTACCGGATAGTTCCCCTTCCAATGAATTTCTTTATTTCGTTTCTACTGTTCGTTCGTTCCAGTGTATCGTTGTCGTCGATTCGTTTTAAATCAAATTAAAATTCATCTAATGCTCGCGCATCCTCGTGAAAAGAACGTAATCACGTTTATAGCACTTTAACTTTGCGTTTGCAAAGCGGGTACGGAGTTTCGCAACCAAGATAATGCTGGTTCCACGCTAGAGTAAATTGCCGGATGACCTCTCGAACATCTGCTATGGTGACTCAGTAGCCCTTGAATTTCCCATCTGACCGATCCTCCGCCAGTTTCACACATTAGAGGTGCTCCTTCGTCGTTCTGAGAGAAAAACAAAATAAGAATATAGATATCAACATAAATGAATTATTCAGTTTGTTGAAAGATAGAGTTAGAAAATGCAAGTTAGGAAAGTACAAGACACTTGGGTTAATAATTTAAAAAAAACTTCATAGGCTGATAGATATTGTTATTTTCGTTACACTCTCTTTAATATGAGAAAATTAGAAATCTTACGTAGCAAGGTCCTTTATTCGTATCAGTAAATCCAGCACATATATTGTCCTTTGTGATGAACCCTGCATAATGGCTAGTTGCATTGCACTTCTCAGAGTCTAACGTTGGCAATGGTAGGAAGTTCAAATATTTTTGTAAATCCACTTCGCCATTCGCAGAGAATCCCCATCCTGCCATGACGCATATCTGTCTCGGCTAAAATTAATAAAAAATGCACATATATTTTAAACACTTTACATATATTTTCAAATATATTCTTGATACCAAATATTCGTAATACGAACTTGAATAGGATGTTTCGGAAGACAAACGGCGCTAACGTTCCTTGAGAAAGTTAGAGGCTTCTCGAGCTCAACTAACGCGATATCATTGTTGTATAAAAATTGATTGTATTTCACTTGCGGGTAGGGAATGATGTTCCTCACGGGATGTGCTTTTAATAGGTTTTCACCGGTGAAAAGTTGCCACCCACTACTTTCCTTATATCTAAACAAAATAAAAAATATATCTTTGTAATTAAATTCCGTTCGAGATTCGAATTCGGATCGATAATCTAGTCCATCTTCGGAGAAAAATTCTGTATTTAATCCACTTTCTGTCAAACCATTGAAGCAAGAAATCTTCGAAATAACAGTTAATGGAATTAACTGTAAATTTTCCAAATCTTCAATTTGTACTTTTAAAAATTGAAAAATCTGTTATATCAAATTATTCGAAAAGACATTATTATTATTATTGCTAGAGTTGACAATAAAAAAGAAATGATTTCCTTGAATTTTTGTTTTCTTTTTTTTTTTTAGATTATGAATCTCTTAATCGAATGATTTACCTGTGAATACAGGAATAACTGGCAAGCACATGCATAGGTCCCAATATGCTTGCCGTGCAAGCAGCACCGTGTTTAGGTTCCTTTAGCAAGGCCACGCTGGACCATTGTCCTTCGCTGGCTGGTGTTCCGCCAACCAATCTGGCAGTTGGTCCTTCGCCATAGTCAGAACCGCAAGAAAATTCTTGGCAAGATATCTGCACGACCTTGTCGGAGATGCAGAATTCCACTTGTTCCAAATTTGTGACTAATGGCGCACGATGGTTAGGATTCAACTTTAGTCTGAGTATCTTCTGGATTTTATCCCATGTCTGGAGCTCTGTGCTCTCAGAACCAGCAAATCCTAGAGATCGGCAGTAAGAGTTGCTAAATTCTTCGCTCCATCCGTCGGAGCACACAAGACGATACTCATCGTTGTATTGTCTGGAAAAATACAACGTCCTACTTGATTTGTTATTTTCTTAATTTAATTAACAATAATAGCTTCTTAAGTTCAACTGATACAGATGGATAAATATTATTTGTTTAATCAGATGATTAGAAATTTTCTTAATTTAATTAACAATAATAGCTTTTTAAGTTTAACTGATACAGATGGATAAATATTATTTGTTTAATCAGATGATTAGAAATCTAATTAAATTTAAAATTATTGAATTAAGCCTTGGAATAGAATTGTGAAATGAGGTTTCATTAAGCTAAATGTTTTACTTGTCGATAGCGGTAGATTAAAAATTCACAGACTGCCCTCGGAGTTAGTTAAACACTGATATTTGATAAGACTAGATATACTTTATGAATGGAATGGTTTGAAACGTGAAGAGAGGAGCTGATCTGGTCTTGTTCGACTACAACAGATTACTTCTAATATTGAAGCGGAATAAAATACGTTAGAATATTAAAAAGATCACTATGCCATTTCTATACTTTCTCAACAAGAAAGTAATGAATTCCAGTCTCAATTAAAAATTCTTCGGATTTTTTTTTTCTTGATTATTCGATTTTTAATCCAAGATTTGTAATTTCAATTTCAACATTTTTTTTACCTTATTTTTAATAAAGAACTTCCACCAAATTCTTGAACACCACTATTCTCGATGTTATCTTCTCCTTGTCCATCTGATGACTTTTTCTCCATAGTCATATTTGTCATTAAACAGTTCCATTCGTCAGAATGATCAGGACAATGTTCTATCCCATCACAGACTTGATTTTCAGGCACACATCCGCCTGTTTGACACTTGAACTGATCAAGAGCGCAATCGCATAATTTTTCGTCCTCTCCATTAGCACATTCTCTAATCCCGTTGCAGTGCCACGTTAATGGTATGCACCATTTTTCTGTTGGGCAAAGATACTCGTTGTTTCCACAACTTTCGGCACAATTGTATTCATCTCGGTGATCCTCGCAGTCTGGTCGACCATCGCATTGCCAGATGCCTGGGATGCATCTTCCTAAAATTAGAAATAATTATAATATAAGTGTAGTATCGTGGACGAGGGGCCTGGGGGGGGGCCTGGGGGGGGGGGTGTCGTGCGAATTATAAACAAGCGGTTGCCGAGCATGTGCATGATGGGGTTTAAACAAAAGATACGAGGCTAAGACAAAAGACAAAGGGTTGCTAAGGGACATAAACGAATTAACGGCAGTATGAGTGGAGAAGCCAGAGAGTGCGGATTGCATTGTTGAGATAGTGTTGTTAGCGTTGTCGAAAGAGAGTTGAATCTGTGTTGACGAGAGTTGTTAATTAATTATTATACATTGTTACGATTAGTTCATGTTGAATAACCATTGTTTTCTGTTTAATCCATTTATTATTAATAAACTAATTATTATATTTACGATACTACATAAGTTGTAAAAAATTCGTGTTCTATTGTATTATTATTGTATTATTATTTATTTGTTATTTTTTGATGATTCAACTTAATGGCAAGTTCTATATAATTCAGGAATAAAAATGACAAATTAATTTTGAAGGTGAAATTGACGATGAATTTGATCCTACATGAAATAAGAACAACTTTTGTCCTAGATTAGTCTACCGTAGATTTAAAAATATATCTCAGAGTAAACACGATACTTGCGAAACAAATTAAATGGGTTGTCAGTCGAGTAGATAAAACAAATAGCCACAATTTATTACAGAACAGACAGAGCTTCTTTCAATCTATTTTTACAATTTCGAGAAGCATCCGGTAGTTCCAAATACTCTAAAAGATGAAGCAATTTGCTCGAATGATAACTAGTGACACCGATAACCCGTGCTAGGAAAGAAACATCTCGTCCGATATTAGAACATTCTTCGTTCAAATTATTACGAAACCTGTATTGAATATTAAACGAGAAGCCATTAAGTCGATCGTATATTATACCAAGTTTTCCCTTTCACTTTTTTCCACCGATAATTGTCCTTCTAATTTGCATTTAATGATCCTTCATATAAAAATATCACGGTCCACAAGTATTAAGATAGTTATTGATATTTAGCATAAATTGTGTGTTTTCCATTACTTTTATTTTCTAGTTACGAAGTCGTAGCGTTTCAGTACTTCATTCGAGTACACACAGTGTATTTATGACTGATAGTATACATTTCAAAAACTTACCACTGGGACATCTAAATTCATCGAATTGACACTTCCATTCTTCGCAATTCTTTTCATCACTTCCATCATCACAGTCGACAATTTTATTGCACACCAGGTCTCGCTTTAGACATTGACCGCTTGCGCACTGAAAGTTTCCTGGACAACCTTCCTCCTTACAATTTAATTCATCCGAACCATCGGAACAATCATTCTCGGAGTCGCATTTCGCTGATAGTTTCACGCAGTATGCGCCATCCCTGGATGTTCCATTGACACATTGGAACTGGCCAGTTGTACATTTCGAGAAAACAGTACTTGGAGGGATATTGAGGAAAGAAACATCGATATGGCTAGTACTTTCCACAACTGCATCCGGTAATTTAGTTTGCGTGGACGGTGCAACTGTCGTGTCGATGCTCTCTTTCGCAACGTGATTTGTTTCCTGTGCAGTCGACACTATCGACGATTGATTCGAAGGAAATACTGAAGACTGTGAACCTGTCTGGTTCGGTTCTCCATTTATTTCAATCACTTGTCCTGGTTCTATAGCTGTATGGCCTTCGTTAGATGGTCCATTGATGACTGGATTTTCTGTTGTAAAATCTACGCCTGATCGATGGAAATTGAAGTTTCGGAGAACTACGAATGGCTCTGTAACCGGTTCTGGCTCTTCTATCTTCTCCGAAACCGGTATGAAGCTAGGATACTTCTTTGAACTGTCTGGGACTGTTATGCTTGTTTTGTCATTCAGACTCTCTTTTTCATTAGAAGAGGTTTCGGACGTTTGTACATTTATTTGGTTTGATCCGCTGGTCGTTTCGATGATCTTCAATTGTGGAACAGGTGCAGAATTTTCTTCTACGTGGATGTCTGTATTAGTCGCAGTATGGTTCTCTTCTTGAGCTTTTTCCTTTTCAGCAAATATTTGTGGTATTTCAGTAGAGAATACCGTAGCCGATTCTGGAATCTCTGTTGATATATTTTCACCCTCGTCCTCTTCCAAGTTTAATTCCTTCTCCTTCTTGTGTTTGTATTTATCAATAACTTTCTTGTCCACTGACTTCTTCTTCACTTCCAAACTCTTCTCCAATGGAATCACTCTTAAGCTTTCTTCCGACAATTCGTCCGCATCCAAGTTGGGTAACATAGTCTTAGGTGTAGTGGTGATAAAATGTATTTTATAATCGAATCCTATAGGTTGGGTGTCATCTTCCAATATCTCGGTAACTGGTCTAATATCCTCTGTCGTACTGGAACTCTCAGACGTCTGTTTATGTAATTCCGTTGAATCTTCTGTTAAATTCTTCTGCATATTTTTCTCTACGTTCATTGTAGTCACATTTTCCTCACTTGTATTATCTAGTACTGAAATATTTGGTTCTAACAATGTGTTATTAATACTTGTGTTGTTTACATGTTCCACTGCACTGGTCATCAGATCGACTGCAGTGCCATTCTGAGCATTCACTTTTTCATCACCGCTAGTTACCAAATCTTCAGCCGAATTATTATTCATCTCATCAGTATTGGGTTTTGAAGAGTCCGTCTGTTCAACTTCCGTATTATTAGAACGTACATTTTCTAAATCACTAGTTTTCACTTCAGCGTCTGGCTTCATTGTGGAGGTGGTTAACAATACGTCACTTTCAGTAGTTTGCAGTTCTTCTGGCAATATTGGTACCTGAGCAGTGGTTTTGGTTTCTAATGGCATCATGTGAGTTGTCGGTACTTGAACTGTCGTGGTATCCTCCATACTAACCTGAACGCTATTATCATGTTCTGTATTATTGTCTTTTCGAGGATTCTCTTCAGTTACAGTTGTGCTTTCGATTTTTTCAGTTGTAGACATTTCTTGCTGTATCTCCAATGGTAACACTGGTATTTGCGTGGTTAATTTAGCATCCTCTGTATGGTTATCTGGGACACTTTCAGTATCATTCGTTGTAACGTTCATGTTATCGTTTGTGTAAGGTATGTCTGTCATTTTGGACGATTTCTCGTCATCATTTGTTACTAATTTATCAGATTCATCCTTAACTTTCCCTCGTATCTCCGAGTCATCCTGTTGATACCCTTTAGACAAAGTATCATCGTTTATATCGTTATATTGATCTTCTACTGCGTTTTCTTCAGGTTTCTCAGAAGCAGTAACATTATTCATAGAATCTTTTGATTGTTTTTCGTTTTCTTCCGTTGGAATAGTGGTAACTATGTTAGATTCTGTTGTGGTTCCTGATTTATTCTTATCTGCATTATTCACAGTGGTTTCAGTTTCCTTGAACTGTTCCTCCAATGGTATTACTCTTAACGCCTCTTCATCTTCCTCGGAACCTTCTCTACTCTCCTTCTCATTTATAGCATATTCTTCATCCTCAGTTGGCTTATTAATATCATAATTATGTAGTCCATTTTGAATTCCAGACTCCGTGTTATTAATTTCAACAACGTCCAAACCATTACTCTTGAAACCACGACCCACTTCATTTCCAGTCATCACATTTTTCACACTATTCTTTTCCTCTTCCTGTTCTTCAGGTATTTTGACATCGTGTGTTTCTACGTGAACATCATTCAGAGAATCCTTCACGTTAGTGTCATTCATACTTTGTTCCGTGGATTTGTAAGTAACAACATCTTCGACGTGTCCTTCGAAAGGATTGGGTACATCCTGCTCATCTTTATCCAATCTGGGGGCTTTCTTCACCTCTTTTTCCTTTTGAATATCTGGCAAGAAGGGAGACATATCATCTACGTGTTTATCATAAGCTGGATCAAATTTCTCTGTAGTTTGTTCGATTGCATTTTCAGGGAACATTGCTGGATGCAGAGGATGATTGGTTGAATGATCTAAATTGTCTTCATAACGAAGGGGATCGCCTGAAGAAACTACATTCTGTTCAGGATGAATCGTGGAACGGTGTAGAACTGTTTGAATAGCTTCTGTAGAAGATTGAATTTTATTTTCTACAATTGAACCTTCAGGAACACCGCTTGAGGATGTATTAGAAGATTGGACGCTTTGTTCAGGAATTAGTTGAGGAATTATCGCATGAGGATCATGTATTTCTGCTGTATATTCAGTTTTTGGAATTAACATAATGTGCTCCTCTCCTGTATTGTTTTTAAGAGGTTCTAACAAAGGTTCTACATTGTGACCAAAATTTTTTGGTAATTTAGGAAAGACAGTCGTTGGCATGTGCTCAATGATGTTAGTTTCGTTGGTTTCATGCATAAGTGATTCTGGCACAACTGAAGATTCGCCAGATAATATTGATTTAGCTACTTCGTTACTTGCTTCTGTAGTACTGTTCTCTACGATGGTATTTATTTCAGTAACGTTTTCTGATTTGTTATCTACTACAAGAGGAGTCGTTTCAGGTTTTAGAGTGAATTCCTCAGAAACTGAGGACTGTGTGCTAGACAGGGAGACGGAATTAGATTCGGACGAAGAGTTCATAATTTCAGACTCCTCCTTACTTATATTCATTGTAGTAGCTTCAGTTGCTTCATCCTGTGACATGTTAGTCTCAGTGCCGTGTTCAACCTTCGCTGTTTCTTCTATATCCATCTTAATAGAGGTCATTGTTGTTATTTTATCTTTATTATCATCCTTCACCATTGTCGTATCCATTGTCGTAACAGTTGATTCGAAGTGATCCTCGGAATGATTTGACGTTACAGCCTCTTCGGTATCAGGCATCAAAGGTATCACTGGTAAGGGTGTATCATTACTTGCTATTTCATCGACAGATTTCTCATTACTTGGCAATGTGGTCACTTCAGGCATCATTGATATTGTAGTTTCTGACCCTATATTTATAGGAGCGTTAGGTGTAAAAGTATTTACCATTTCTTTCTCGATCATAGATATTGTAGTCGAAAATTCAATTGGAGATTCTGCTTCCTTCGTCATACTAGGTAATTCAGTGTAAGTTGATTCGGTAATTGTTTCAACAGACATTTTATTCATAGTCGCAGATTCAGTAGAGGATTCTGTTTTACCAGGAGTTTCTTCTGCGGACTCTATTGGCCTCATTGTGTTTTGTATTTCAGTAGAATGTTCTGTAATAGGTACATTTTGATGAGACTTTTCATCGATGGGAAATTCGGGTTCTGTGGATGATGAAATTGGTGATTCATGTTCTATAGCAGTCTCAGTTCCAAGTTTTTCAGGTCTGACAGTAAAATCCGGCTGAGAAGATAATACAGGATGTTCAGTTACTGCAGATTTTGTTGACGATTCTGAGTCATTAGTAGGGTTTGGTTCAGCAATTGGTGTTACTTCAGTTGAAGATTCTGCTTCAGCTGATGACTGATGTTTAAGAGAAGATTCCACTTCAATTGAAGGTTTGGATTCAGCAGAAGACTCTGGTTCAATATTGGCCATAGTTTCTGTGTTAGGAGATTCCATATTGTTTACTTCTAATTTAGTTGGAGACTTTGGTTTAGTGGGAGGTTCTGTTTGAGAAGTAGATTCTGTCACCGCAGGAGACGGTTCTTCTGGTTCAGAAGAAAGAACTGGTTCTGCAGAAAGTTCTGGTTGAGAAGAGGGCTCTGGTTCTGCAGAAGGTTCTGATTGAGAAGAGGGCTCTGACTCTGCAGCAGGCTCTGGTTGAGAAGAGGACTCTGGCTCTGCAGCAGGCTCTGGCTCTGTAGGAGGCTCTGATTGAGAAGGAAGTTCTGCTTCTGCAGGAGACTCTGGTTGAGAAGAAGGCATTGGTTCGGTAGAAGACTCTGATTCAGAAGAAAACTTTGGTTCTGCAGGAGATCCTGATTGAGAAGAAGGCTCTGCCTCTGCAGGAGATTCTGGTTGGGAGGTAGATTCTGGTTGTACAGAAGGCTCTGGCTCTGCAGATGGTTCTGGCTCTGTAGAAGGCTCTGGCTCAACAGGAAATTCGGGTTCAACATTTGGCTTTAGCTCAGCAGATGGTTCAGGTTCCGCAGAAGGTTCAGGTTCCGCAGAAGGTTCAGGTTCCGTAGAAGGTTCAGATTCCGCAGAAGGTTCAGGTTCTGTAGAAGGTTCAGGTTCCGCAGAAGGTTCAGGTTCCGCAGAAGGTTCAGGTTCCGCAGAAGGTTCTGGTCCCGCAGAAGGTTCTGGTTCCGCAGAAGGTTCTGGTTCTACAGATGGTTCCGGTTTAGAACTAGATTCTGGTTCAATTTTTGGTTCGGTAGGATACTCACTCGAATATTCGCGCATCGAATGGTCATCTTCTGATTGGTCATGCATCGAGTGGTCATGTGCTGAATGATCATGAGTAGAATAATCGTATTCCGAATGCTCATGTGCTGAATGATCATGATTTGATTGATCATGCGTTGAATGGTCAGGAGTCGAGTGACCATGTGATGAATGCATCCAGTTTATTGGATCAGATTCTCCATTAAACTCACGATTCTGTTCCGTCGTAGTCATCTGTGTAGGCTCTGGTCCCGGCGAAGAATCATGTGGTTGTACATGAAACTCATGTTCATTACCTTGCGGTGAGGCATGTCTATTATGCGTTGACTCGGTAGTGAAGTCCAAATGATCCCAATTATCAGGCCTTCTAGGTTCAAATACAGTACCAGGGCCTCTACTCCTTCCCTGAACATAATCGTGCACCACTTCCGTATTAGATTCCGGTATCTCATCATCCATTTCTACATTACTCAAATCATTTTCATCAATGCAGTTCTTTTCATCACTGTCCAATACCTTTCCAACCCCACAGGAGCAAACAAACAGACCTTTAGAGTAATCGTATTCGCACCTTTCTGAACACTGGAGATTTCCACTCTGACACTGATCAATTAATTTATTCACTCTTAAACTACTCAAGTGATATTGTCCAATTATGTTGCCACTCTTCTGTAGCGTCTGCTCGATCAGCTGTTGCATTTCTTCGGGCATTGAACGTGACGGATAGCTTATCCTAAACCTCACTTCACCATCCCTGTTTATGTCGTATACCTTGATGACTGTTGTATTGTTTGGGGGCTGTTGTAACATATTCTTCAAATTTTCTTCTATCTCTGAACTGACTTGTCTGTACACTCTCGACTTTGGATTGCTGAAATCATTGTCCCAATGGAAGTCGTCTAGTTTTAATATACCGTCTAAGGCACTTGGAACGGTGTTGTAAATGGTTTCATCGGTAGTTGGCCAGGGTGGGAAGCTTGAAGTCGCAGGTGGCGGACTCGATGGCGGATCTTTCACGTACTCTTGACTTCCTGCGGTTCGTACGTCACCAAATTGCCGGGAATTGGTTTGCTGGAGATTTTCCAAGGGTTCTGATGCTTCTTGCGTTAGGATCACTCCAGCTAGGGCAGAATCAATCCTTTATTTAGTTATGTAGGATTTCAAAACTTAAAAAAATTTTTTCTAACTATATATTACATTTCGCATCTTCAAAAATGAATAATTTAAAAGAGTTTAGAGAAACTATATGCTTCAAAAGACTCTTACTTCCGGCCAAAATGGCAATGATGACCGCTACCAGTAGAACCATCAGTCCACATCCCCAGCAAGCCATCCTTCTCCAGTACGAACTCCTTGATCTCTTGTCCTTCGTTACATAAAGTTTCTCGCCTCTGTAACACAGTTTCACCCATAATTAACAACAATAGTTACGAACTTTATCAATTCACCCCCATCCTAGACCCAAAAGAAGCGTATTTTATACAGCACTGTGCTTGTCAGTGTTCCGAGACCTTCTTCAGCGACCATGGTATTAGAAGCTTCCCTAGACGAACAGACACCATATTCTAAATGACTCATCGCGATCATCTAATCTTTATTCCGGAACTAAAGTTCTTCCATACCCATAATCCATCGTGTTCTTTCAACCCTCTCGACTCTTAAACTTTGATTCAAAAATCATTTTCGGTTTTCGAATCAATCGAAGTCCGTTTTATCGCGACGATCGAATATTAGCGGTCAGTGTCCACGCGTGGGGAGTCTGCTTCTGAGATAGTGTTGTAATCGTTTCTTTACGAATAAATGTCTATTAGAGTGTATCGACTCTTTGATGATGATGATGACGATGATGATGATGATGATGATGATGATGATGATGCTATGTGTAGCAATTACAAGATTCGTGAATCCTGAAGCACCTGTCACAGGCATACAAAAAAAAAAAGAAAAGAAAGAAAAGTATAACAGACTGACATTCTTCAGCCTATACATCGTAGCTGTTTTCTAGTATATCATCCCGGTGCATTTTGCAAGGTGGAAATTTGTGAATTGCTTGTGGCATTCTGTCGCTTATACATATACATGTATCGTCAGGCTCAGCCATTGCTATCGTTGATTAAAAAAAGGGAAAAATACAAGAAAAATAGGGCGAGTAGCAGGGGTGTAAGCGGGTTAGTTCGCGAATCGTGCGCATCCACCATTTCGTTCATCGATCAGCAGCTTCTCTCTCCCCCGTTCCTCATCCTCGTAAGCATCCTTCAATGTACCTGAGGGCTGTCAGCCAGTGGGAATAGTCGACCAGTCCGGCGGCAGGGTCTCTCAGGCTGAGTCCCTCACGGCCGACGCCGGGGCCCAAATCAAAACGCACTCCAGCCACGGTTGTTTCAACCTCGGCCTCGGGACCCCTGCTAGGTATCGTGACAACAGAAAACACCGTCTCTAACTCTCTACTCAGCTTGCTGCTGGCCTCTATGTTATACGTATATGTACGTATGCTCTGTGTGCCTGTATCTGTGTATATATGTATGTGTTTGTTTCGTGTGAGCTGTAACCTCGCGGTCAGCGGCGGTGAAGCTGAATGCTGTGGCTCTAACGTTACGCTAGGCCGCTAGGCGAACGATCTCGCATGGAGCATGTACTCTGTTTCATGGTTTGTGCGATCAGATGCAGGTTCGAAGACTTTGTTTCTCTATATCTTTCATCATCTTTTATCGTTAACCCTGATTTATTGACAGAAATTTTGATTAATTTTGATGTGCATTAATGGGCGAAGGTATTGTTGTAAGAGAAATTCCATCTTTGGTTTTTGTCCTTTTATCGGGTTTTGTGAGCTGCGATTTTGCATAAGTGATATTGTGAGATTTGATATTCGTATTTGAGAACGTCACAGGGGGAGTGATATAAGTGACAAAAATTTGTATTAGATGTTATTACTATAACATTAGATGTTATCGCTATTATAAACAAAAGTATTTGTACTATTTTTCCTCAAGATAAATTAGATATCCTACATAATGCTTTTATCTCGGATTTGTATCATTCTTATATTGATTCTAGTTCATTCATCTCTAATGATACAATGCATTACGAGAAAGGAAGATGATAGAAAGACTATCAAAAGTGAAAAGTTATTTATGAAAATCACAATTAATAAACATTGTTCGTATATGCTCCGTACGAAAAATAATGTTCCAACTATTTCTCCGTGCACTTCTCTCTTACGAACACACTACTTGCTCTTCTAGCAAGTTGATAACATTCGCATATAATTCGTAGCCTCGCGAAGGTATTTCATATGACCGTGCTAAACGGGCAAACAGCATAAATCAACTTGTTGTAACTTTTTCTAAAAAGATCTTTGAAATGCATATGCTTTTTAAATCATCTCGACGCTAATCTCAAACGAGAAGCAAGCAATAAAAAACAAAGAAAGAAAGGAACAACTACGCAACACTACTCAGTTCTTGCAGACCAAAATATTGTATAAAAAATTGTGTAATAAAATGACGAAGAATTCAGAATGAACAATTTAAGAAACATTTATATCTTTGGCGTAAAAATTTCTTGTATTTCACATTCTTTCTCATAATTTTACAATTTTACGTCGTATAGGATAATTATACAACCCGGAATTTGTAAAATTTTATTTCTTTCATTATCAAAATTTGTTGCATATACAAGAAAATGTACCAATATCGATACTTGCAATATTTTATTAATAACGTTACTTTAATCGCGCAAAATGGTCTTGGTGTCAGACACAAAGAGACGGAAATATTTGATGTTTCGTTATACTGTGAATAGTTTTGTGATTGCCTTCTTATAACGTAAATCTTTTTATTTTTGTTGCCGCCATGGGAACATCGCCAAAAATTATTATCATTGTTGTTATCACTAAGGTAATCGGAATAAAAATTATTCATAATGGAGTATAAAATAATTCGTGGTCAATGCATAGTTCTATTTCTGACGAAAGACGGTCACTCCTGCGTTCTGCTATGAAACATTGTGACACGTTCGTTTCGCAATCTCCTTCATCGGTGAATGTAATCCGCAACATCCGAGGACCTCCGTTCGCTCCGTCAGTATCCGCAATATTTTTGTTTCTTTTTTAATCGATACAATTGCATTTTCTTTATTACTATATATTCGCAATTATTTGAATCATTTTCTTATTTGGAATGAATTGTGCGATATTAAAATAATTATCGATTTCTGTTTATGGTTTGTTCTATCGTGAATTTTACTAATTACGAGAATACTAATTGTTTAATTCTGTTGGTATTTATCAATACGGAAAATTAATGGTGCTACTTCTCGATTGTTGAAACAATGACGAGCTTTGTAAATTCTTATTTGAGGAGCTTGTTTCCGAAACGCTTTAAATTCGGGCTTGCTTAATTTAGATTCCACTGTAAACGCGTAAAATCTAGTAATACATTAACGTGTGTGGCAGACGGAGAAATGGAGGACGCGTAAAAGACACGAGATGAATATTAAAATGCCAACGAAATCAGGTTTCATGTTTATGCGAACTAGAGGATTATTTTCAAAAAAAATTAATGCATCCGCTTGGTTATTCTATTCTGCTCAATCTTCTTGATATTCGTTTATCATATTTCTTCGTTAAAAAAATCGAGCGATCTCGCAACGCCCCGGACTGGTGAACACGATCGAATGTTAAACAGTAGCCAGGAAGAGAACACAGAGAGTAGAAGAATATTTTTCAGCCGTTCGTTACCTGATGTACTTTCGATGCTCGTTTACTGGAACGAAGTACTCTTCGTAGGGATCAGCTGGCACCTCGCAAGCCTCTTGACCCTTTGTCTGTAGATTGTTGCCCGCGTAAGGCCTCATCGAGACCAGTTCCAAGTTTACGGCTTCGATTTGCTCCTTTTTTCCAGTGTCTATCGATAATAGGAAATTATTAAAATATCGATTGTAGAAATTGAGATCAGCGTCGAATTTTCATTGAAAGAAATTTCAATCGGTAATTTGTCAAATTTCAAGGTGTTCAGGTGTGAACCAAAGAATTCAAAGTGAAGAAATATATTCTAATGCAACAAAAAAAGCGAGCCTTTATCCATGTAAATATTCTACTCTTCCTCATATATCACGGAAAAATCGGTGAAAAAGACCGGAAAACCCCGTTTCATTATTAGATTTGTGGAACTTTAGTATTTAAGAGCTATTAACCATTATTTAATGGTGTTATAAAATGATCGTTAAGTCACAGTTCCAAGGCATGAAGTATCATTTATGTAACCTAACTAGACATTATTTCATGTAATTAATAAGTAATAATATATTACACATTCATGGCTATCAGTCATTTTTCAAATAGATTTCTTCCTTTTTTTTTTTTAGTACAACTGTGAGTATAGTGATCTCAAACTTATACTCAATCACATGCATGCGTTATAGTGCCTTAGGGGTTATGTAATTTACAGGTGTGGAAATTACACGTGGCATTAAAGTATTTATTTATGGGGCGGAACCTCGCGTGCTGCAAAGTCGTTGTTTATAGAGAAAGAAGTTGGTTAATTACATGTTTACTCGGACGTAGTTCAAAAGTCAATATACTTTTATTGAGTGACGTCCTTCGGTCATAACTTTGCGTAGCAAAGAAAGTATGTTGCATTATATGGGCGGAAAATAATTGACATATCCTGGGAATAGTTGACATATCCTTTAACTTTTTATGCTAACAATTATATAATGGAAAGGTTGGTTTTAGCGGCTTGTTTCACATTTCAAGACAAATATTACATAGAATACAATAATTCATTTATCGAGTGAAAGTTAATTCGAGAAGGTTCTAAATCTATGACAATGTTTGGAAGATTTTCATCACAGATAACAATTCCTTTGTTTGCCATGCTACTTTATCGAGCCATTTTTAACAAACGATTTAGGGACCCATTGTCTCAAACGTAAATGTACATTTTTTACAATTATTTTACGTATTTTACAAGCTTTAGCAATTATGTAGGAGACCTTTCATATACTTTCTGCGTTTCACCGACCTCGAACAACTTTTTCTTCGAGAACTGTCCGTATTGTTGGTGGTGGTGGTGGTAGTAATTAACGATCGAAAGTTCGGCTCGTCCTGATCATATCTGGTAAAATCGAGCGATCAACGCAAATTTCAGTAACAGCGACCACCATTTCTATAACGTTCTTCTTTGCTTTCAAGTTTCATGCATGTTTGAAACTTGAAATAGATATTGCTATTCGATCTGATAAAAAAAAATTTTATCATTTTCTACAGATATTACAAAATTCCCAACAACTGATTTATTTTTATATGAATTATACGTCCTTCAAATAGAAATTACTAAAGAATATTCCATTTATTATACAATAAAGTATTTTTTATACTTACACGTGAGATTACAAATTTTCTCAAAGACAGTCAGAGAACTTTTTGCTCGGCCTAATATTCCATTCATATCATACTGATCATTATATGTATCATTTTAACGTTGAATTTTACTTGAGGAATAAAATCCAAATTTCTTAATTCGTTCAATAGGCTTAGAATAACTTAAACGTAATAAATTGCAGAGACGATACGTTCAAACTTTCGCAAAGAAATTCAATTAATCAACTTACTGCAATCGCATTAAATAATTCTAGTCTTAAAATGTAAAATTTCGTGCTTAGAATAAATAATTCTGGTTCAATCGAAGCGACTAAGTTGCAGTCTAACAATTGTTATCTATGTCTCATCGTTCACTTCCAGCTAATGTTTTATTCATCGAACGCATGTAAATGAAATTTATGTGATTCTCGAACGATCGTTTTCCTAATCGTGGACAGAACTTGGTCGTAGAAAAGCGGTCGATCGCGGTTACGCTTTGCGTCACGGGGATTGCACGCGGCTCTTTCTGCGTGCAAAACGAGAGGAAAAATGCAACGCAGGTCGCCACGTGTTCGCTTTTTGTCGCGAAGAATTTTCTCCGTGTTGGACGTAGAGCCTGCGGTCTCCGCTTACGTAAAGTCCGCACCTTTTTCGTTCTTTTCCCTTCTCTCGTTTTGTTGCTTCTTAAACGATCTCTCTTGAAACATGTTGCAGAAGTGGATAAAAAAAGAAAATGGAATTGAACGAACCGTGGCAACGATCGTTTAGCAGGCTTTTCATCGTCGATTAGTTTTTCCGTGTGAATTGGATGAAGTATCGAGTTTGTTTTTCAGTAGGTTTCAGATAATAATGAAATTCTAAAATTTCACATTAAAACGTTTCATACCGAACCTCGATCCAATCGAAGATTTAAGATATACTCAACGATGCAATTGTACAAATATAAAAATCTGTCCGCTAATATTATTAGTAAATTAACGTGTAAGGAAATCTGGAAACAATTAACAATTATTAATAAGAAACTTACCATTGATCTGCACGCTGGTCGCGCTGTTATTCAAGAAACTAGCGTCATTGTTATTTCCATTCCCATGAACGCCGTTCATCTTCGGCTCGACGACGGTCTTGTCGTTGCTGTCGGGCAGCTCGATCTTTGTCTCGGTTCTGTAATGTGAATCAGGGCTGGTCCTTCCGGCCTCCACGTATTGCTGCGACACAAATTGCGTCCGATGATGCCCATTCTCCACAGGACCGTCCTCCGTCTTGTGATCCTGGTCCAAGGTCACTTGATGTTGGTCATTGTCCTGTTTCAAATCGGTCGCGCAATCATCCTCGTTGGCGAACGCCGGATTATCTATACCATCGTCCGCCATCTCGTGATATGCCTCGCCGAAAACTGCTGGGCCCTCAGGTGATCACGATCACCCGGTATCGACTCTCATGCGTCTCGATTCTGTAAAATAGAAAAATTTCAAGGAATAAGAATGCCGTTGAAAGATGAGAATAGTCGAGTACAGCAAATTTTGGACCATTTATATTTCATACTTGACAAGAATCTGCATTATCAACGTTATATCGTAAATATAAGTACTCTGCAAAATGATAGCAAATTTGTTTTTACTTCTTAATTGTCAAACGCGTAAAACAAAAGACTTGAAGAACAAGCTTTCTTGCATATACAGGATGGGATCGTAATCGTGGAACAATCGGGCAGAGGGTAATTCCACGTGAAAATATAAGAAAAAGGTTCGATGTAACGTTTGTTCATCCGAGGTTCCGTATTCTGAAAGCTCGACTTTGCAGATTTGACGAGCAAACTTCAATTTGGCAAATTCCGGACCGATGAACAAGAGTAAAAAATTATCAATATGAAAATAAGTAAAAAATTTAATATACTACGTTTTCGTAAGATGGTCCTATTTTCGAGAAAAATAAATTCGAAAATGTATCATGCGCATGGAGGTATGTACCAAACCAGTTCGTAGTTAGACAGGTTTAAACTTTGTTTTCTTGAAAATGAGACCTTGAACGGAAGAATTTTATTCCACTTTTTTTATTTATTTCTTCACGTGGAATCGCCTTCTGCCCGATTATTATTATGATCACTGCTCCATCGTGTATAGTAGTTAAAACGTTTCTTGACCTTTGTATCTAAAAGAGTTTGGAGATTTTATTGTAGCATTGTCAGACTGTTTTAGTTAAGGTACGGTCGAAGAAGAAGATTGATGCTGCGTTATATGTGAAAAATGTCTGTTTCATCTGATTGAGTTGATTTTTTTCGGATCTGCTGATGATGCATAGAAAGAAATCGAGTTACATAAGGAAATCCATTAGGGAATGGCAGTGATGTAGAGTGTTCCGTTTTGAAAGATGGAGAATGAAGTGCAGTTGCTGGAAAACGTACAGAGCCAGTGGTAAATTTATTTTATTTTCGAGTTGTAATGAGATTTCTGTTTTGATTTCAATTAATTTCTCTTTTTATGTCAAGGTGATACAATCTTTTAACTGGTATCATTAAAAACTGTTGACTCACGTGTTCGCTAAAGCATAGCTATTAATATTAATCAAGTATCTTAAAATTTATGATATACGATTATTTATATTGTAATATACCAAATAATATTCTGCAATTTGCATAATATCAAATAGATAATATGCTATACAATTTAAATATTTTAATAGCGAAATCTTTTTTGTTCGCTGTTAAATTCTCTTAAAAAATAATCTGCCATGTCACTTCACGCAGAAAAATCGCTGCGCCCTTCAACGAGCATTGTAATCGATATCGGAAACGCATTTCGTAGTTTCCGTCTCTTCGTTGAGTAAGCAGCTTCTCGATGACCGATTTCGGATTGTGGTGTGTAATTTATCGTCGGAGAAACTGGGCGTAAGTCGATCCGATCTTTTTTGCTGACGAAATTCAATGTACAGTCGATGAAAGAAAGAGACCGAATTTTCCACGTTCGTTGCGTTTCGATTGCCCAATGCGATTGAAAATGTTAAACCTTACAATAGATTCCTTTCAACTTTCAATTAAAAAGAATATATTCTCCAGCATTATTCATCATTCTCCGATTGTTTGCTCGTTTATTTTCCACTTTATACGCCATTCATTAATGCGGTCGTCTATTTAAGTTGTTACTAGAAAATTCACTAAATTCAATAAACAACGAACTACAGTGACCGAAATATTTCAGATTCACAAGCGTTTCAGTTACTCGATGCATCGATCTTACGATTAAACTTTTCAATTAAAAGAGAAACATTCTGTAATATCATCCGCCGTTCTGTTTACTTGTTAACTTCCTATTTTATCGACGCGGCCTACGGTTAAATGGTTGAAACACTTTTTAGCGTTCCATTAATATTCAATCGTTTCTCTTTTTTTTTATTTTTAATTTTATATATACAACATCGATCAACGTGTTTTCGAGTTATCGCTAGGTGGCCTTAGGCGGATCGTAGAATCGCGTTTATTATTATCGCAGGCTCGCAACTGCTGCTCCTATCAACCTGGACGTGATACCAATTACACCGTCATATAATGGTCACGGTGTCTGTACTGCAGTTTAATTAAATCCTATAATTCTTTTCTTCTCTATATATATATTGCGATCGCGGCGGATAGGGCTTTCTAACTACGGACAGGCGCTTGTTTATCAGCCATCGCGTTAGAAGAGGGAATCGTTAAGGGATAAGACCGCTTGAGGTTAGGTTTGCTTCGGGAATTATGTTCAAGTTCTCTGTATTCGCATAATTATAACGATATTATGCAAAAATATTCTAGATGTTTGGTAGTAATTGCAATATGGTAATCAGTGCACGTGTAATTGTCTTAACTGATGACTTTAGAATTATGTAACAGAAATAGATCTTAGACGAACGAATAATTAGGATACACTTTTACCTGAGATTAAAATATTGTAAATAATCAGAGTGTAACACATTGTGAATTTCATATATATATATATATATCAAATATATACTTCATAATATAAAATTAAGAAAACTATTACGTATACTTACAATCCCAACCAGTTGAAACGATCGCGAGTTTTGATTTCAATAGTTCGTTCCTTACGAGAGCAACTGTTTTCTGATTTCTTTTCGAATTGTGATTCCTTTTTCCCATAATCAAAGAAAATTCTGGTCGCAAAGGGTTAAAGTGCATCAAATTGCATCCGCGCAAGAAACACGCCAAATGCTTGCAGACGCTAACGTCAGTCCGGTGTGATGACGTCAGTGGTAAAGCAATTTTCAAAACTTCGCGCAAGATGAACGAGACGGACGTGAGAACCGTGAGACATCCTGTCCACACGTTTCTTGCGTCTTACACTCTACATATCCTTATCTTCTAGACGACTTCGTTTTTCAATAGGATTTATCTTTCCACGATTTCTTATAATTTGTATAATCTCGTCTTTTCGTTGCAAGAAGACTGAGAGACTTTTTGTGGTAAAAGTAAAATCTTGTTTCAAGGTTGAATTACATTTTTTTCTTCCCGTATCAAATATGTCTTTCACTTTTTACGTTTCATTCGGGAATATTAAACGACTTTCAATTTTTAATGGAAGATTTGAAACAAAACAATTCGAAATAAAAATTTTCAAGTAGAAAATTTGAAATTCCTTGTAGCCTGAACTAAAAATTGTAATTTGAAAATTTGCGATATTTTTAAGAATACACCGTATCGGTCCCTCGTCTAAGCTCTTGGTATTCCTTCTTCGCCACTGTTTCGTTTCCTGCGAACCTCCCAGCGCCCTTTAGCGGGAGTCACGGTCTCCTCTGGTCTTTTTTTTCCCTCGATTTTGCTGAAACGTCGCGCCAACGAAAAGGCTCGAGACAAAAAAGGGAGCAGAATAAGTTACGGCTCCTAAAAAGCCGCTCTCGAGCGGCACGATCTTTGTCTCTGTCGGGAACCCTTTCATTATGACAATTTGAAAATCACCAAGAATTAAACCTCATAATTTGATACAAACCAATCTAAGAAAGAAACTCATACAATTGATTTAAGCTACACTTACAAAAAAGTACATATTACCCTGCCATCTTTAAAGAGAAGCTATATAACTGCAGCTGAAAATTCTACAGTATAATGGTTTGCTGTTAGCTATTTCGTGTAATCCAACAACGCAGAAGCCCTTTGTGTTGAGCGAAAAAAGTGCTACGACGCTGGTACTTCTTCCGGCGATAAGGGAAGAATGAAAAATCCTTGCCACTAGGATGTATTAGGTTGTCCGAGAAGTTTCTTTCGTTTTATGAGGAAACAATAGACGCACAACGTTTTTTGTTTTATATTATTTTGTCGAATTACGTTCGATCTATTTTGTTCTGTTGAGATAAACTCCGCGACATTTCACAGACTTGCTTTCACGTTTGTACGAAGGTGCGCTGTTGTAGAAATCAGATTTGCGATAGAAGATACTTTTCGGACACAGCACAAGCCTAAAAAGCTACATTGCTATTTTATTTTCGTTAAATTACTCACTCAATCTCAGGTGATAGTATCTTTAGCTGGAAGATACATAAAGGTTCTTCGGAATATACCGGACGACTTCTTTTTCATCCTCCGACGAAAGGTTCGAGTTCCGCCTCGAAACTTAAAAAACGATATCGAAAGTGGCGAGACACAGAAGAAAGCGTAGGATCAACGTTACCGAGCACGAAGTACCATATACACGGCGAAATTTAAAATTCACCGATTACTCGAGTAAAATCTCAACTCTGTTATGTCTCGTAGATAGGCATTTCGATGAATTAAATCTTCCAGTGGCAAGAATTTAAATTGAAATTTCTTCACCTCTGAGGGGTAGAAATTTTGATTAGAACTTACGGGACACCCTATATACTACGGTCAGACGGACGGTCGTGTTCGCGCGTGTACGTGTAAACGTTGCAGGCATATACTGCACCGAAAGCGGTTGACCCTGAGAGAGGCAAGCACAAAGGACTGATTCACCCCGGGGCCAGAGTGGAGTCCTCTCCTCGGAGAGCTCGCGTTCAGCGTCCACCCAGGTCGACTTCGCCAAAGCTCCGCTCTTCTCAAGTGACATAATCCCACTGGTTTGGTCGCCGTTTTCCATTTAACTGCCGGCTCATCGTAATTGGTAACGTAATCGCGGATCACGATTCCACGGGTTAGAGGTCCGGCCAGGTCCCACAGTTGGATATGTTTTGTGAGTTTCTGATGGAAGAAGCTTGTGAAAAGAGAAATCGAAATCTTGGTTTGTTATTTCGGTCGGTTAGGTAGGTTATGTCGTTGATGGAGAATGTGATTCTTTCGAATCTCTCGATACTGTTGTATATATAGATATATAGATATGTGTGTGTGTACGTTGTATTCGAATCTGGCAAACTACAAAACACGAATGAAATAAGAAGAAAACGAATCGACGTAACTATTCGTGAATTCGCTGCACGCACGAGCGATCGCCTGTCGAAACGCGCCGAATT